GACGTACGTCATTTTGGAATTCTGAAACGACGTACGTCAATTCGGAATTGACGTGAATCCCGAAACGACGTATAACAATTATACGAAATGTGTTTGGGTAATATATAACGAATAATAATGTTCAAATCATAAAGAAATTATGGAATTAGAGAATTTAGAGTTGCTACGGCAACAGAATCATCTTCCACCAAATCAATTTCAGCAACAATCGCAGCAACGCCAGTTGGACATGCAAAGCATTATAAATGGCGTAACTGATGTTTTTAATCAATAAAAACACCAAGCTGGACATGCAAACATGGTGAAAGCATTATAGATAGAACCACTGATATTCTTAGTAAATAATCGTCTACAGATAATCGAAATAACAATCATATACGTACTCTTTTATCATATCGATATGTCTTTCTCCATGTTTATAACCTGTTCTTTATTATTGTCTATTCCTATTTGATTTCTTACGTTCCGACTATTGTACCGATTTTATTGTATCCTTATTTTTAATCTACTGAATTTATTCATTTACGTTTAATATATTTTTTGCTTTTTAATTATGTATAACTTTATCATTTATGTAAATTAGTTTACGTGCCAAAAAAATCCTATTCTTATACTGTATATTATATCGTTATTTTATAGTTATACTCCCCTAATGCATACTATATTCTAGTTCCAGTTTCAAAAGTATGCATTAAGATAAGTATGACGTACATAGAATAGCTATTGTAATACAATCACACTCAATGCATACGTACTCTTGGAACTGACATTAGAAAATATACATGTATTTGAAAGAGTATCATTTAGAGGAATGTGACTTTATTATACTCCAAATGTCAATAGGTCTGATTGTTAATTTGGATAATCCAATTCCAATTATATTTTTAGCAATCAAAATTTTAGTTTTTATATGTAATAGCCTAATTATCAATAGTTTTAAATACATAATAAACACATTGAATTATGAATAAAATATATCTTTCAATTCGCAATTTTACCATATCTCGTTTAGTGTGCGAGTCTACATGTATAGAACCTATTACTATATCCTGCCTGACCTTAATCTTAATTAACCCTTAATCATTACATATAAAGGTAAGATAAAGGGATCGCACCCCGCGAGATACCTCTTCGCTTAAATAAAGATGCAAAAATAATACCCAAAGTCAAAATTTGAATTTGAGGTAAAAATACTGCTCAAACATCCAATTGGGATTTAGACTACTTAACAAATTTATTTACATTTGGAGTACAAACTATCTAAGCAATTCGTTAATAATCTATCCATTCTTAAATTTAAACAAAGGATCATTGTATGGTGCAGAAACTCTTAAATCAACAATATGTTTCAATTTTAAAAGGATATTACGCAACGTAGAGGCAAAATTTTCAAAATCTGACCGGTAACTTTGTTTTTTATAATCAGATTTTGAAAATTTGTCTCTATGTTGAGTAGTAGCATTTTACAATTTAAAACATATGTCGATTTAAGAGTTCTTGCACCATAGCAATTATGAAGTTTCTCACACCATTATTTTAATTTTGAATCGAACATAATGCAAAAATATACCTTTTTTAGATGCTTTATATTTGAAGACGCTGACATAATATTTAACGGAGCCATACATTATCCAGTAAAGTCTAGTAACCAAATTCAGTAAAGTAAATTTTTGTTTGGTATATTCATTGATTATTTGAATAAGCAATATTGGTTCCTTTACTGAATTTGGTTACCAGACTTTGCTGAATAGCGTAAGACGCGATCTGTATTATCTACTCTAAACCCGTACCCAATCCTTTTCAGTGTATAAGAAGTTTTACTTTACTATTAGTGTAATATCGCATAATAAATGTTGGCACCCTTACTTATTTTAGACTTAAATAAGATCCGACCTTTTAGGTTATATGAAACTTATCACGAAAAGTCATTTTATCAATGAAGTTCTTTGTAAACATTTGATATCTAACAAAAGTTCGTATGAAGCAAGTAATGTAATTAACCTTTTACTATTTGAGTTGATAGAATTCTATTTAGAAAGAAAACGTTAAGGTTTTTTAACGAGCATATTCTTATAATTGGACTGAAATTTAATTTATATTGTTCAAACTAATTTTTTGCTTTTCTACATCAGAGAGACAAGGCACAATGATTTTAATAAGTAGTCGGAAGCAGGTTGGATAGGATTCTTTTATCAATTAATATGTCAAGTTATCGTTGTTTACACACTTTATAAAAGTATAGTAATCTCACTTTTTTCTTAATTACCTTTGTTTTGTTATTTATTATAACAGGACCAATAGCCATACTTGCTTCCAAATCAAACTTTAATATAAATTTAATTTGGCGGCAATTATACTTATGGATTTAACTATTGAAGTTATATATAATGATTAAATGCATTAAGGATCTAAATACATGTACGTATGTACATGTATCATGTATGTAATGTGAACTAATGCTATGAAATATTTATGGAACATAGATCAGCGCATTACGTAATTTCATGTTTTCTGACGATTAGCGTGGGTGAATGACAAAGGCCATAAAATTTTTCTAACATCATCACTTAATGATATGTGATAGGACCACCAGTCCAGAACATAGGGATCAAACAAAATCAGCTGGATGATGTCTGTATTCGATATTTGGATGACAAGTTTAATATTTTTATCAAACAAAATAGGAGATTAGTATGTTTAAATGCTCAATACTTTCAAATGTAAAGAATAAAAATAAATTAAAATTTAAATGTATAAATGATTTTATTTAAAGAAAAATATCATCCAATTAATCTAATTCTCAATTTGGTGTGACACAACATCCAAAAGAAAAATACAGACATTTGACTAAGAATTCTAAATTAAAAACGTCATTTGTTCTTTTTGACAAAGAGTAACAAATAAATTGATGCATATTTGTGCCCACCATAAATTCACAATGGCAAATTTTTCGCAATACGTAGAACAATACGTAAGAGAGCGTGATAAACTTGCATCAATGGATCTATTTTTATTATAATTAACTTTAATTGTTTATGTGTAATCACATTCGGAAAGCTTATTTTTTTTATTCTAAACATATGTATTCCAAAGAAACTTAGCGAACGCCAATGACGCCAATGCACTCATATAACATTTCACAGGTTGTTTGACTAACATTTGATTATAGGTTCTTTTATTTTTAGATATCTTTGTTACGTTTCAGTGCATGAATATCCCTCATATTTCGTTTGTGATTTCTTTTACTTTTATGCACAATAGTGATGATATAACCGGATCTTATTTTCGGTTTCCGCTGCCTTTAAATTGAATTATAAAGTATCTTTACATTCTAATGAATGGGAAATACACTTTTGGCGCGCTACAAACACAACTGCATATAAATTTATTTCTAGATCATTGATGGATTAGACATGCTTCACCGCTCTGTGTCTCTGAATTTTTTGTGTTTTTTTCATTATCAATCTATAAACCATAAATGAAAGTTTTTGATATTTTGAAGTTTTGTTAGTTCAATTACATCGAAAGAGTTTTCTCTTATATTTTTGAATTTTCTTTTGGTTTCACTCATAATCTTGTATTTTGCTTTTATATGAAAATCTGCAACCTCGTAATTACAATATTTCTGGTGACTTTTTCTTTGATTGAACAAACTGTTAAAACAAATGTATTTTTCGCGCGGGATACTATAGATAATAGTCCAATCAAATCTATACTAACCTTTTCAAATGGTGTATACAAATATCAATATGATAATTTTTTGTAATTAAGCTTTTATTGGACAATAATCAAAATCCTCAGTAGAATCATAAAAACGAGTTCATCGTGGTGCTTATCTCACGGAGCAATTTTTGATGTAAGCTGACGCGGTACTTTGATAAATGTTTGGGGGCATATTACATAAATTTCTAATCACCTTCTATTTTAATTGTTTATGCTCATAACAATAACAATATATATATATATATGTTGTTATTTCTATATATTTTTGAATAAACATCCGAGAAGTTTTATGAAATAAAACAAACTCTTCATTATCTTTTTGCCTTTCAAAATATTCTTATAAATAAATATATGTGAAATGGAGAGCTACTTTGGTAGAAAAATTTCTTTTACTTTATAAAAATTAAGTAAACGTACAGAGGGGTGACGACGATCGTTAAAAGCTTTAGTATGTCGTAGTATATTGCAATATAATAACAACATTAAGATTGAACCTGTATGCTTTTGTCTGCTAACAAAGATGTTCGTTTTTGTTCAATTTACTATTTAAATACAATAAAATTCGAAAATTCAAATTGTATATATAAAAATGGGTCGCAACAAAAGATCTTACTAACGGAGAATGCCACACTGTCGAAATACTCAAGAAACAAGGCATGTCTGCACGCGTCCTTGAACGATCAGCTACTAGTGTCAAAAACTGTATTAAACGAATAAACTTGACCCAAAATTGTGGTTATTTGAAAGGAAAGAATAGTGGCCGAAAATTAATAGTTGATGATTGTTCTGAACGTTTAATTCTTCGAAAAATTAAAGCAAATCCAATGATAAGGATAATGCTAAAACGCTTGCTTGCCACTAAATCTCATCTAATAACATATCTCCACGTACCCTGATAAAGAAGTTTAAAGAAAAATGGTATCAAATCCCATATTGCACGTAAAAAACCATGGATTAATGAAAAATCGGTTAAAATTCACAAAAATTGGATCAAAGAAGATTAGCAACATGTTCTTTGGACTGACGAATCCTCTATCAGCACCGATTCATATGAAAAAGTTCGCGTTTGGTGTCATAAAGATGAGCTTTATGATCCAATTGCACACAAGCAACCGTTAAAAGTGGTCGAAAATCTATTATGGTCTGGGGATGTGTGAGTGGACTCAATTTAAGTTATTTAATTCGCGCGCCATCACATATGAATAGTGAAAAGTATGGAAACATTATTTTAGATGTAATTTACCCAATGGTTATGGTTGCAGAAGAGGCAATATTTCAAGAGGATAACGCACCAATTCACAAGAGCAAACCTGTAAAGGAGCTTAAAGATAATCTCGGAATTGTGACAATGGAGTGGCCACCACAATCACCAGATCTGAGTCCAATCGAAAATGTGTGGAGAGAGATTAAATGCTGGAATCATAAGAACCGAATACCACAGACAGAAACTGATTTGGAGAAAGCCGTATTTGCCGCATGAAATACTATTACATTTGAGAAAATTCTTCACTTTATACTCAATGCCAGAACGTATTAACGAAGTAATAGAAAAAAAATGGACATGCAATCCACTATAGATACGCATTTATTAGTAGTAAAACACGTGCGTAGAATACATTTCTTTCTACGTAATTAACGTTAACGATCGTCTTAATTTTTGCATGTTGCAAGTTGGAATATAATCTGTGTTGATTTGGAATTTGGCCCGCATTATAAAATTAAAATAACAACTCTGGCCAATATTCTAAATCAACCTAAGTTGATTCCAAATCAACACAGATTCTATTCCAACTTAGAACATGCATATCGGTATTTAGCGTTAGTGATTGATTTAGATTTTATCGTTATCGTTAGGAATTCAATAAATTCGAAGGCATTTCTTAATCATATTCACGGATTAAATTTTGGCTTCACTTCTTAGTCAAGAAGTTTCTTGAATTCATGAAATACATGTATAGATGTTTGCCCCATATGGCCGACAATCCGGACAAAGTCGATTTTATAATACAATAATTGTTTCTGAATTTATTTTAATCGATTTAGACAAAATTTTTTCATCAGATATCGATTCCCTTCCCCATCACATATGAACTTAATAGGATAATAAAAAACTGCAATTATGTAACCGGTCATATTAATAGTTGGTTAACAAATTAAGAATTTTTTTAGCTTCAAATACTACGTGATTTATTTATTGATATTTGTTCTTGTGCTGCTGCAACCACCAAAGAGATTAGGAGGAAAAATAAGGATATCAGCACCAAGAACTCCATTCGCGCAAACACCAACTGAGGTATTAAGGTTAAGGTTATTTATTCTCAGCGCTCCGCCTAGATTTGGAAATAGGTACTGCAGCAACCAGAGGATAACAGTCAAAAAACTGAATGATGTATTGTAAATTCATTTTTTGCATGAGATGTTTTGAAGAAAGTGATTTTTGAATTGTTTTATTGTTTTTATAAGAAATAAATTGATCATTAAATAACGATAGCAAAATACGTAAATAGCGATAGGAACATACAGATATATAGCACTACTTTTATGAAAACAATAATAAAGAAAACTATTTATCTCTTCTTAAATCTTAACTATCCGATTTATATCAACGTTATCAAATGAAAAGATGTTGCAGTGGCAACGACAAGACTATTGCGAACAAGTAGGTAAAAAATTTGTTGCCTCAGAGAATAATCTTAACGTTAGTATTTCCGATTGAAAAGTACTGCGCTTGGTTAACGAATCACATAAGACTACAGGTTAAACTATGCGACTTTTTCTCTAAACTGTCCAATCAAAATTATTTCGAGAAATCTTGGATAACAACTTATAATAGAACCAATGTTGTCTTTTTTCTTTTTTGAATCTGTAGTTATTATTTTTGGGATGATTTACTCCTGAAATTTGAAAGAACAGGTTTTTGGATTGCATATCGATATTACTTTGTGATAGTAGAATAATGAAGATGAACGTAGGAATCTGTAAATATACTAGGGATAGTAATCTGTTGGGAACTACTACTAGTAGTTCAATAACACAAGAAGCACCGGTGGATAATAAGATTTCAGTTGTTAAGAAAGTAGTTCATTTGTGGTAATACGTAGTTGTAAACCACATTGCAAATACGTAGACACTATTTGCCTGAAATGTACGTAGTTTTATTGTTATCGTTATGTTAAACTTACACAAAATGGAAGTTATCGTTATCAGATTGAGATTGAGCTTGTGTATCAATAGGAATTCCAAATACATGTACATGTGCATGAACATGTAACAAATACCGATACCGATACTGTTACTGTTAGATCCACTTGTTATTAACTGGGATACATCGTTATACATGTAGATGGTGAATTTTATGACTTGATTAGATAATAAGACATGTTTATTATTAATACATATTTTTATTGTCCTATTTTTATTGAGGTCATCCTAATGTTTAGCTATTATAATTTCAAATTGTTCTTCTGAATATAATTAAACTTTAAGAAAAACAATAGATACGCACGCATATACAGTACATCTTCGAAAGTAAGCTCACCATTTTTCAAGCCTTAAATCATGCAATATATAAGCTTAATACAGTTAACCCCAAAATAAGCTACCCCTTCAATTCTATAATTGTGCAAAGTAAGGTAGCTTATTTTCGGAGATTTACGGTACTTTAATGGATCTCTAAATATATTTTTTATGAATATAAATACAGTGAATAGAAAATTTTTATCAATAAAATGCTTATATGGTGGTGAGGAAAATCAAGACGACTACTCGCCTAACTCCATTCATAAAATTCATATCACTATTTTCAACACGATAATTTGATACATTAAATTTCGAATCTGAACATATTTTATCCGAACCCCCAACTTTCCGTAAATCATGTGTAATGCACCAAATTTTTCCGAGCACAAAGTACATTACAAATGCTGATTATTGATACTTTTTTATAGGTTGGTAGAGCTTTTATATTGGATATTGTATGTTCATAAACTTCATGCCCAAATACAATAAATCGGTCACTTTAGGAAATAATATCTATCTCAACATCTAGTGATTAAATTCGAGTGAAAATACCACCATTCGATTTGTCTAATTTAGGCAAATCAAATGGTGGTATTGGTATTTTCACTCGAATTTAATCACTAGATGTTGAGATATTATTTCCTAAAGTGGCCGATTCATATTTGGCGATCAATTGTCATAAATTAATCGGTCAATTTTTGTTTGAATCGGATCATTGGAGGCCAAGATATCACGTTCTAAATTTGCTGCTGATTAATTTTTGTTAATGTCAAAAAAATGAAGTTGATACTTTAGGATGCAATATTTCGACGTCCAGTGATCCGATTTGAACAAAAAATACTACTATTCGATTCGTCTTGACTAGACGAATCGAATAGTAGTATTTTTTGTTCAAATCGGATCACTGGACGTCAAGAATTAGATTATTGAATATTGAGATGTATGTTATGAAATAACTGATTATATTTGTCACGTGAAAGTTTATGAGCATACAATATCCGATATAGAAGCTCTATCAAAATATAAAAAGTATCAATGATCAGCATTTGTAATGTTCTTTGTGCTCGGAAAAATTTTGTGCATTACACATGATCTACGGAAAGTTAAGAGGGGTCGGATACTTTTGGCCACGACTGTACAATCCTTCTTGAGACTCGGATTAGGACTTATATTTGCTGAAGTTAACTTGTATTATTATCGTTATATTGCGAGATAAACCAAAAGATAATCTTAAACTAACCTATTATGTGCTCCAATATCCCTTCTTTTTTTCTACTTGGATCTTTGCAATAATCTATATGACGATGACAGCTTATATTTTCACAAAGCTAAAAGTTAAGAATAAAATTTAGTTTTCTTATGTTGGAAAATTCCCAATATGCATGAATATACATGTCTTATGACAAAGCACAAAATCGCTAACAGTCAACAGATGTTCTAAAAATAATTTATTTAATTAACTTGTATTATTTTCACAAATTAACAGATAAACCTTTACCTTCGAATTCGAATTCTTCTTCTTCACATGTGAATGTTGTCAAAAGCATAATTCTTGAACAGTGTCTAAGAATTATCTAAATTATTCGAGTATAAATAAGAATCAAAGATTTATACATAATTAATAACATTTATTATATTTTATTAATAATTTTGATACTGTTATATAATGAATTTATTATTATTTTAAAATTTATAGTTGCTTATAGTTATTTATATTTCTATAAAATAAATTCAATTAATATATAAATATATTTATTATATATTTTTTTGCTATTATTACTATTTTATATAGTTCTTAGTTTTGTCATATAAATAATATATAAGATTAAATTAGATAAAAGAATTATATATACAATAGCTTTAAGTAAGAGAGAGAATACAATTTCTAAAGATAGATGATATATGTTTATTTAGTGATCAGCTAAAATAAAACCAGAAATATTTAAAGATAATTATATTTTATTAAATTTAATTTATAGACAAGAAGATATTAATTATTTATTTCTTAATTTAATTATATAATAATGACTTTACAGTTAGATAAAATAGCAAATACAAGAAATATAACTTTATAGTTAAGATAAGATATTAAATACAAGAAATATAACTTTACAATTAAGATAAGAAATTATAAGATAAAATATAATGACTTTAAAATTAAAATAAGATATTATATAAAATACTATCTGTTCTAGTTAATAAAAATAATTTAAAAGAAGAAAAACAAACAATAAATTTTTTGTATGCTATCTAAAACTAAAATATATACTATATTTATAGATAAATTATAAAACTAAACTTTTAATAAAAATATAAATTGAATTGAATTTTAAACTAAAATTCAAATAGAAATTCAATAAAAATTCAAACTGAATTTGAATTGAAATTTAAATAAAAATCTGAACTAAAATTCAAATTGAAATTTGAATAGAAATTTGAATAAAAATTCAAATTCAAATTGAATTCAGATAAAAATTCAAATTTCTAAAACTAATTAAAAATATAATTATTCATTAAAATAATACAAAAATTAATAATATCGAAAATATTGATCATAATAGGATTTTTATTATTAAATATTTTACTCTATAAAATAAATATCTAATAATAATAGAATTATTTTCAAATTTTGTGTGAATAATTTAAATATTTTAGAAATTCTTTTTTTTAAGCTATTACTTTTTGTATAACTCAATTTTTCAATTTGACTTAGTTGATATTATTATTTAACTTTTTATAATTTTAAATTTCAGTGTAATTTTCAAAATACTTATAAATTTTTATAGTAAAATAAGCTTTTTCAAGAGAATTTTGAGAAAAATATATTATTTGATAAGTTATTGTATTTAGTGTTTCAATTGGGTTGGATCTAATTTGTAATCTAATTTAAAATGCATATTTTAGATCAGGTCAAATTGGATCAAATCTGATTCAAAATAATTCAGATAAGTCTAAAAAAAG